TAATCAGACAAGTTGTACAGTCTAAGGACCCTGTGGCAGATCTGGTATTATATATGAGATTACTGAATGTCATATTTGATGCATTTCATGTAAAAGTAGCATTTTACTGATGCAAACAGCAAAACTCCACTTCAGTATGAACTGTTCACTCGCAGTAGTTTTTATAATGGATCAGTTTGCTAATTGTTTTCACAATAAAGTGATTTAAAAAAACTGTGACAAATGTCATGAAAGTTATCCAGAGCCTGAAGTAACAGAGTTCCCCGTCCAACCCTTAAAATTATTTGCATTAAAGGCAGATATTTACCATTGAGAAAGTGAAATAATTTCAACATTGATCCTCTGCCTATTTATTTATTTATTTTAAATGTAGAACTAAATTATCATCAGTAGTTGTTCGTTTTCTGCTCTTCAACTCATAAAATCAACTCTTCCTCAGTCAGTTTAATTTATATCAAAGCATGATATTTTATTAGTATTTCAGATGTTGTGTGCAAACATTTTACATTTGTGAAGTAACTAGTAACTAAGCCTGTCCTAAAAAGTGCAGTTTCTCCCTGTGTAAGTTAAGTGGCAATAAAATGAAATATTCAACAAAATAAGTGAGCAAGTAGTACGGCACTTGGACAAATCCTCACATTTAAAAGCTGGCAATACTAAATGTTTGGTGTTTGTGCTTTATAACGGACTTACAGAACTTTTAAGAAATAACTGATAAATGGACAAAATATTACAGCACTTATTATATGACAAGCACCACATCAATATCTCTGAACATGTTGCAATTAAACAAAAGTCCTTTTCTTTAATATCTACTAGATTACATTGCACTCCTCTCTCCTATGATCTTACTCATTATATGTTGAGTTAAATGTGAATTTTTAAGCCTACAGTGGCTTGACCCAAATTAAAATATATGAATTTTTACCCCAACAATGCATAATTTTGCCAGTAAATTAGTTGTAATCATGCAGCCTTTACTGTTGTCTTATTAAGGATGGACGTTTGCTGTTCTTCATGACTATGGCCATGATTAAGAAATGTGGTTGTGATCAGCATCACAATATTAAAAAGAATATCAGTATATTTCATGGTGTACATTTGAAAGGAAAATGTGTTTAAAATGCACTTGAATGTCACATTTTAAGCAAAATGCTTTAAACTTCAAAACGAGGGATGAGACACAAATTGGAAGTGATATTAATGACACACAAACGCTGATGCATGGATGGAAAATACACAGTTTGAAAGAAGAACTGATCTCATCACAAAATTGAAGAAACACTGCTTAATTAAAGTACAAAAAAATTCCTTATTACGGTAGTATAACTGCATGATTTAAAACAAGTCCAACACATATTTACTGCACTCTGGTCTTCCTCAAGGTTAAACACACACAGACAAATGAGTTCTGTAGCCACAGGCTTCAGTGGCACGTGCAAACAAATTTAACATTTGGCGTCCTTGATGAATCAACACTCCAGTAACTTATTTTGTTAGATCATTTAGAGCTAAATGCATTGCTTATGGTTGGTGTTTCACAAATTCAAAAATGATTAATTGAGAGAATAATCTGCACTTAAATCGCTGAAAATAATAACTTGCAGTTGAAGCTTATACTCAGTGACTCAGAAACATCTGAACAATAACATCAATGTCATTTGCAAAATTACTTTTTTTCAGTAGTTTGTGCAAATTAATTTCAGTATTGTGTAATATTTCATTTTCATGTGCAGTATTTCATTAAATGTGATTGTACTGTCTCAGAATCATTGCCAGTATTGCTTCCTACTTTCCTATTCCAGTCTTATATTAGCTTATTTTTTATTTTCTGTAATTTTTCTGTAAGTTCTGGTATCTCATAGATTTTTTTACTAGATACTGCATTTTCTTATAAATATAAAGAAAGGTAACTTTTTTCTCTAAGCAGCATCTGGCACAAAAAAATATATATTTTTTTTTGGTATAATAAAGTTTTATGGTATCTGATCTTTTGTTATTTTATGTTATCCTATCTTATTTTATCTTGGCCTAAATGCTAAGAAGATTTTAAAATATTTTTGTATTTTATGTGCAGCTCCTTTCATCATGCAGCTGGTGATCCGTCAGTACCGTCCCTCAGACAAGGACACAGTGCGGACCCTGTTCAGCATCAGCATCCGGGAGCACATCGGCCCATGTTTCCGCAATGCCATGACCAGCCCTCTCTACATCGCCATCACGCTGGCTCTGTGTGTTGCTGGATACCTGCTTGGCTCTGTGTTTGGAGCTGTGCTGTTACCAGCAGTCTGGGTAGGCCTCATCTACTACTGCTCTTATGAGCTCTATGACAGCTACGTCAGAGAGAGACTTCGGACAGACATGCAGGACATCGTTGGAAACTATCTGAGCAGACCAGATGACTGTTACTGGGTGGCTGAGGCTGAGGTTGACGGAAGCGTGCAAGTCCTCGGTATGGTGGCTGTAGCAGCCAAACACAATGGGAAAGAAGAATACGGGGAGCTGTTCAGAATGATCATCTCACCAGAGTGCAGACGACTGGGTCTGGGCCGCAGGTTGACTCAGACCGTGGTTGACTTCTGTAAGGAACGAGGCTTCTCCAAGGTAGTGCTGGAGACCAGCACCACCCAGACGCCTGCTGTGGCCCTGTACGAGAAACTGGGCTTCAGCCACGTGCTCTCACACACCAATGGGGGTGTTCCCTCCTGGGTTGTGTCACTGGCCAAAGTCAGAGTTTTAAGAATGGAAAAACGGCTGTAGGCCTGAAGAAAGCACTCATCAACTGATGTTATGTTCCTGTTCTCTTCTGCAAACACTAGTTTAAGCTTTTGCATTGATCATACGTAATACTTAGACCAAGAAGAGCCTTGGGTAGTGCAGGGATCAATTCATAGGTTTACACATTACATACAGCTGCTCTTGTGAGCTCACTGGAGCATGATTCAGTCACTTTACATTGTTGTAGTGTATGTGGATTTTCTTTTTTCAATAGATTCAAGTACTGTCATTTTATTTGTCAAACTATATTGACCACTTTGAATTGTTTTTTCATACAAAAGGTTGAAGATGAAGAAAATACATTGTTCACATTTACATACTTTGACTGTTAAAGCCCCTCACTATGGTAACTCAAGTTTGACATGAGTGTAACATAACATTGGAGCTGGATGAAGCTGTGAAGCTGGAATTAGAAGCTTAACAGATCAGTGAGAATGAAACAGACCAGCAGAGACATTAGAAGTAATATACAGATGAATATAATGTAGTATATTGTACTGTTACACTGTACTGCAGTATACAGTAAGAACATCTAGTTTAGAGATGGATAATGCTGACTAATGATTGGTCATTATTATAGGTGCTTCTAAAATAATCTTTTGTTACAGAAGACATTCTTAATATCAGATTCTTAATAAGTCTTAAAAGATTATTCATTGAATCCTTATGTTTAAGGATGAGAAAGTCTTATTTTTAATCATGAAATTTAAATTTGGAGATGAAGCCTATATGTTATATTGGATTCCATAGAAGTGTGTTATTATTTTACGCTTTTCTATTTTCCAAATTAAAGATTTCAAACTGCACTTACTATATAGCACTGGTAGTTGCAGTTTTAGACATGTGAACACTTTGATTGTTGTTTTGCACGTGTTCAATTCATAGAGATACGTGTCCATATTGGGGGGAAAAAATCATACTGGTAATTGTAACACAATGTGATTTACATAAACATACATTTCTTCTCCTAAAGATTCTAAGTTTTGTTTGGTGAAGCCAAAAAAACATTAAATTTAACTTTGAACAGTATGCAGGTACCCTTCTATTAAAGTATCCCATTCAGCCATGACAAACAATGAAAGGATCCTCAAACTGTCACAGCTGCAGTGGCCATCAGTAATTTTATTCTTTTATTTGTGCATTTTCTACTTTGACATGTCAAAATCACTTACAGTATGAAGTAAAAATTCCAAAAACATGTTTTGAATGTTTGTGATGAAGACAGTGATCTCAGAAATCTGTCTGTTTAACAGCATTGTGTTTGGAAATCTCATGCAGTCATGTCAATTTGACTCTAAACATGGTTTCTAATGTGGAAATGTATGGAAATATATGTGATTCATACAGATGGAATTGTTCATTGTTAGTCATAAACAGCAGGGGGCGCCGCTTGTCTAAGTAACAGCAACTGAGGTGCAAAGTCACTAAAGTACACTTACACAAGTGCTGTGTAACTGCATATATTTTCACTTTCTTTTGGTGTTGATCATCATTACAGTGCTTGAGCTTTACTTGAGTATTCCACTACATTTAGCCAGTTACTTTGATCACATACAAATTCCATGCATCTTGGTATGTCTAGTGTGATAGTATAGATCAACTCTACAACAGTGTTATATACCAAAAATGAGCTCATCCAGGACCAATTCCAACATTAGGACACTGTATATACTGTACTGTACTTTCAATTTATTCTGCCTATAATATTTTTATACTTTCACTCAATAAAATTTTGTAAGAAAGATTTTACTTGTCGTTGCAGTATTTTAAAAGGTACTTCTGATGCTTCAGTGAAACACCAATGACAGACAATGCAAACTCTAACAGATCCATTTGAATGCAGCTGTGCCCATAGTTCACATTATGCAGAGTCTGCAGTGGCACACAAGTTAATGTCATGCTCATTATTCTTTGCATGTCTGTTCACTTCTCAGTATTTCTATCTTATTATGAACAAAATAACAGGTGCACCTTCTATAGTGTGGTAAAAATCAAGCTCATAACCTTAGTAGGCCTGCTGTATTTGCTGTGCATTAAAAACCACAATATGTCAAATCTCTGTGTGGTTTCACAGTATTTTTTTTAAAATTAGGGCTAAATTAAAGTTAAAGCTTACTTTTACAATCATCTGCTGAAACCATTGTGGTGAAATTTGGTGCAGCCAGTTCTAGCGTGGGAGACAGAGTAGGTTTACATGAAGCCTGCTTTTTTTGTTGTTGATTTTACGGTCCATTACAATTTTTCAATCGTAACGTGTATGTGGAAAACATATTCTTGATAGTATTTTTTTTGTTTTTGTTTTGGCTGCTTGGGGTCTTCTGTCATCTCTGTCTTACCTAGTGGAAAATGTGAGTGAAATGTGGCACTCTTTAGCCTCCACAACACCAAGTGAGATTTGCACTTTCTTTCATGGTGTCGATCCGATCATCATTACAGTGCTCTTGTGAAGTCCTTCTTTGTATTTATTGACTGAGTACTGTATACCTCCAGCTGAGGAGGCACATAAAGACACACAGAAGACAGTGCCACAGCTGTATAGGAATATTATTATTATTAGGTATTGTGTAACAAGTTGAGCATCACAACACATGAACAGGCATTGTGTACTGTGCTGCAGCATATCTAGGAAATCAGAACAAGATTTTTACATGAATAACATATAATCAGGATATTAATGTTCATGTGAACACATGGCCTCAGCCTCTGGGAGGTGCCAAATGTACTGAAATGCAGGGGTTTTCCACAGCTTACATGATGGATTTAATGAAGCAAAAACAAGCAATAGGTGCTTTAGGTGCATATTTTTGCTTTACTGCCAAACATCAAACAAGCTGTTGGATGTGAAACAGAGGTGGACATCACATTTCCCCTTCCCCTTCTTGGATACTGATCCAGGTGCACATCAGGAACAAGAACGGTTCTCAGAAACTGTGGAACCTTGCATACGGTTCCGTCCGTCACACTGAGTGTGTGTGCTCCAGGTTATTATATTATTTGGGTCCACTGCTCTGAAACAAGACAGATCAAATGACAGCAACACTCTGCCCACTTGTTTTATACGAAAATATGCAATATTAGATAAGAAGACATCTAATGGAGCATCTGAAACGATCCCAGCATGGTTTGACAAACACAACACAAAAAGGACACGTACAACACACTGGAGTCTCCAGTTAAAAAATCAAACTTGGCAGTTTCTGTGTTGAGTTCAGGAGGACCAACATGGTGAGAAAAACGTCTTTAAAGCTGCAGAGTCTGTTTGGAGGATTTACAAATCGGAGGTAGAACTTCATCTGACTCCAGCCTTCACGTCGGATGCTTTCATATTTCTTTTCACACAGAAAAGTTGCTGAACAGGTATGATGCCACCTCACATCATACTAGGTGGTTTCTCCTAGCATGGACTCCAGAATCAATTGAGTCTGTTTCTTCCTCTAAAAGGGACGACCTGCACATCTACAGGCAGCTTCTTACCCACTGATATCAGCTCCAGCTTTGAGGTTGTCACTGGTCGGATCCTGTTCGTCTTCATTGTCAGTCTTGTTCTTATTAACACACAGGCAATCTCCTTTGAAACTGAGAGCCAAAAACATACAGTAAGAATGTTTTGAATATTCCCTTTTCATCGACTTGCATGTATTACTGGATAGACTGACCTTTGACCTCCTACTTCTCTCAGGCCTAATCTAGGAACCACTTCTCCTCACTGTCACTCTCATCCAGCTCACCGTCCTCCCTGTCTTAAAATCCTTTTTGTACCATAATATCCCAGCAGAGCACTTTGCTCTCAGACTGCAGACTTATTTGTGGTTCTAGGAGTTTCCAGACCTAGAATGGGAGGCCTTCCTGTAGAACCAGCTCTCAGTTTGGGTTTGGGAGACAGAAACCGTCTTTTAAAGATTAGGCTTAAAATTTTCTGACCAAGACTATACAAGTTATTGTAGCATTTGTCCTTCAGATATTATAAGCTCAGCTTTCTCGTGACACTAACAGGTATTCTCAGCCGAGGAATATAGACAATGCATAGTGCAGTCAAAACCAGGTTATGGCAACAGTGAGACCACGATAATAATACATTTTGCTACAACACTTTCCGCTTTAACAAAGCTTGTAGTTAGAGCTGGTTCAGGTGACCCTGAGAAATCCCTTAGTTGTGCTGCTGTCGGTGTAGATTGCTGGGGGAGTTCCTATGATACATTGATCACCTCTTCTCAGTACAATCATATGCCGCCATTGCATGTTACAAACTGTGGATCCTTTACTCCTGTAGCTTGGGTTTGATTGGTTGTGGAGCTACACATCTATGATCTGCAGTTACTGGTCTCCTCAACCGCCAAAGTGTTTATTGTTCTGTTATACACTATTTGTCATTTCTCCATCTGTTATCGCTCAAGATGGCTGCCCTCCCTCAGCCTGGTACAGCTGTGGGGATTCAGAAATACAAAGTAAAAAGATATCTTAATTCAAACTTAACAGAGTTAACAAAGGCCGGGTAGGAAATAGAAGTCTAAAACTAAAAGTCCACGTGGATAACTAATGAACAAATTCAATAAAGCAAAAACATAAGGTGCAAATAGCAAAAGGCACAAATCACGTGGGTAACAGGGAGCAGTGAGGTGCGGTGAGGTTCATGGCTGGTGAGGCACTGACTTCATCAGAATCTGATTTACAAATACATGCACTCTACACAGTAGCATATTTGCCATTTGATTGGCAGCAGTTTACAGGTTATGTTTCATATCTGCATTCTTTACACATACAAGCTGTAGCCCACAAAACGCATGTTTCTTCTTTTTTTTTAAAGTTATTGCGGTCTTACCTTTACCTTTAAATGAAGTCCATGCTCCGCTCCTTCTGGACAAAACATCCGTTGCTTTTTTGTAATAGTCTCCTTGTCTAGCTTGCTGTCACTTACTCTGCAGCCATGGAGTCACAAGAACCATGTCAGGGATCAGAGCGCCCCCTGCCATGAGGCCAGAGAACTGCCTGCCTCACCTGGAACCTCTTCTCAGCCGTTTATGATCACTCAGCACACGAAACATGTTACACACATACAGTTGGTAACAAAAAAACAAAAAACACTGTACATTATTATATACATCAGCTGAACTATGGAAATTCAGTTCAGATATTAAATGTGTTTGAAACATGTTATTGGCGACATCCAGACAGCAGCACGCTGTCACTGCAGGTGGCCAGCGCAGGTAGCGAGGGATTGAGCAATCCAAGTGAGGCTGAGCTCGCTGCTGCCTCACAGGGATTGGGCAATCCCTCACTGCGCTGGCTGCCATGCAGTTACAGCCTCCGCATGGCAGCCTGCGCAGTGAGGGATTGCGCAATACAAGCATAGACTGTATAAAAGATGGACGTAGCTACCGTGACGTCACCCGTTGGTTTCAGAAAATGAAGCAAGGGTTTTGCTACTTCCTGGTTGACATGAATGAAATGAAATGAAAAATGAAATGAAATGAAATGAATGAAATGAAAAATACTTTATTTATCCCAGAAGGGAAATGAAATTTTGGATGGAAGACATCTTGGATTTTTGGAGCCAGTGACGCAAAAATCGTCAGAGGGGGGCCGAACCATAGGAGCAGTGATTGGTCAGACGGATTGAGAGGCGGGCCCTCTCTGCTCGACCACATTTACCGCCTTCTGCTCGCTTTGTCTGCATTGTCGCTGCCGACTGTCAATCAAGCCAGCCACGCCCCTTGCCCAGCAAAATTTTGACGATTTTTTAAAAATTCAATATTTATTTATTTTCAGATTGGCCACCTGATCTCTGGATTTGACTATGAAAACTAATAAGAAAAACATCCTGAGCTGTAGGAATGCAGTATTTCGTGATCTGTGATCACTTCTTTTCCAATTCAAATCTATGGGAGCCAGGGCTTTTTGGAGCCAGCAACTAAGTGACGTAGTGATATTGCAGGTTTCTGACACTTCCGGGTTGGCTTCCTTTTTCAGGGCCAGATGCTATGTCCATCTTTTATACAGTCTATGAATACAAGTGAGGCTCAGCTCGCCGCTACCTCACCGGCTTCTCTTCCAAGCATTTGAATGGAAAATTGCAAAAATTTAGCAATTTTGAATTTAAAAATCATCAAAACTGACGAGGTTAAATTTATAGTACAAATCACTGGATAAATATAACCATTTAAATTATTTTATCATCATATATTTTTATATACACATATTCCGTGATGTCAGGTGAGGCTCTGCCTCACCAGCCTCCCCTGACCACACTGACAGAGTGTATATGTGGAGAGCAGTGAGGTACCATACGCAATGTACAATGCAGATGGAAACGAGGAACACAAGTAGAATCAGGCAGGCATCTGGCAGGTGAACAGCATTTAGAAGGGGAAGGAAAAACAGACAAGGGATGAAGTAAAGACAAGACATGTCTAAATAAAACAGGAAATAAAGAGAATATGACCCAGGACACTGACAAGTTTTTTCTCCCCACTACTGTAAAGTGTTTGGTCAAAGGGAATTCAAAGGAAACTGTGGATTTGTCAGGTTTCTCATTCTACATTTTGTAAGGTGTTCACCTTACAATGTAAAGTGCCTTTAGATGACATTTGTTGTACATTGGTGCTGTATACATACAATAGAGGACGGGACAATGGTGCAGTGGATAACACTGTCGCCTCACAGCTTGAAGCTTCTGGGTTTGAATCTCAGCCTGGGGTCTTCCTATGTGGAGTTTGCATGTTCTCCCTGTGCCTGCGTAGGTTTCCA